CACTTCCTATTTGGACACATATGGTAAGAGTATCCAGAGTCAAGAATCCACTTACCGGAGGTCTCTTCATCACAAGAGATGGTGTAGCACTCATCGCTTTCCCCTCCTTCCGAGGCATAACTTACCTCTTGCTTGACTTGCACCTTCCCACTGTTGTTGTTCTTGTTGTTCTTCTTCCAACCCTTTTTGTTTGGACAATATGCCTTGAAATGTCGTTAAATTTTAATAATACATAGACCAAGACCTAAAATCAATTATAAATGTATCATTTTACTACCAACTTCTCATAATTTCCAGACAACGAGCAAAAAGAAAGTGGAAGAAGAAGGTTCCTTGTATTTGTTGTTTCATCTTCTCTACAAAGTTTAACTTGTTAAAAGGTCGCATTTATTTACTTAAATGTAGCTTTGTATGCGAGTAAGATTCCTGGTAGGCCTGATATTAAATGATTCGTGACAAGTAATCTCCTTGTATAAAATAGACAGATTATCCATAGAAATTTTTTCTTACAGTATTGTCGTTGGACTCTTTTTTATATAATCACCCTTAAACCACCCGGCTGCCTATATTTCTGATATTCTATCTTATTCCACTTTTTGATTTAGGTCGTCTACTTGAATCATCATGAACATACTGACAACCATGCCAAGCAGTAGTAGCTTTCAGGCATCCGACAGAGACTCCGGTGAGACAGTAGATTCATCTACAATGGTCGACATTGAGTCATCACGTTTCTCCTCGTTTGATCCTGCATACATCACTAAGCTTGTAAGAACAAAAGATAAAAAATGGCTTTGAGAGTGTGGAGGTATAGAAGGTGTGCTGTTAGCCCTGGAAACAGATATGGAGAATGGCGTCAGAGGTGATCGAACTGACATTGACAGCAGAAGAAAAGCCTTCGGCTCTAATCTTTTTCCACAGTATAATCTGCGAAAAACATTTCGCCATTTCGTGTTGGAAGCAATTAAAGATCCCATGATTGCTGTTTTGTTTATCTGTGCTGTGCTTTCTCTATGTCTTGGCATTCAAAAACATGGCCTACGACAAGGATGGCAAGAAGGGTTGACAAAAATACTTGCTATTCTTGTAGTGGTAATTGTTTCCTCCAGTGGAAAATTCTGGCCAATCATTCAATGCCTTGAATTTTCAGTTATCAGCAGCTATATTCCTGAAACTGAGGTTGTGAGAAGCAGTAAATGGCAGCGAATTCCAATATGTCGTGTTCTTGTCGGAGACGTAGTTTTTCTAAAGCCTGGTGATCAAGTTCCTGCCGATGGATTGTTCATAGATGGCTGTTCACTAAATACAGAGATGATGAGGACAGATGGGCAAATTGATCGAATCGAAGTGGACGCACACGAGAATCCATTCTTGTTCTTTGGCAGTACAGTTGTGGGTGGTTATGCCAGAATGCTAGTGACAACAGTTGGCAAGAACATAAAGCACCATGGAATTTCTTTGAGGGGGTCTTCAATTGACGATCTCAAAAGAATCACCTCTATAGTAGGCAAATCTGGTAAGACAGTTGCTCTGCTGATATTTATGGTATTTTTGGTACGTTTCTTGACAGGCAAACTACATGATGATAATGGAAAAAGAGTGTCTTTCGGTGGAGAAACAACAATTGGCGATGTTCTTGCTGTCATTGTGGGGATTCTGGCTACTCCAACAATGATTGCTTTTACATCTACTCCAGAAGACTTGGTTTCGGCTGTCAGAACGTGTCTTGCTTATTCAATGAAGAGACTGATGAAGATTCAAATTCTTGTGAGAGAACCTTTAATCTGCCATACAGTTGCTTCTGTCTCCACTATCTGCATGAATAAAACTGGAACCTTAACTATGGATTCCATGAAGGTACTACTTTTCCTCTCCCAGTGCACTTATCTGTTTTTCATGGTCAATTAACAACTTCTGCAAAGTTGTTTGTGAATAGATAGTACCGTCCTATAGGCATAACAGGAGAAATGAAAATTACTAAAGAAGATTAGGTAAAATGTAAATACTACAGGGAAAGTGTTAATGGCAGGTTCAGTATACAGATTTCAAAGTCAAAGTTTCAGTAGTACATACGTTCAACAGGCTCCTTATGTGATTGATGTCAATGGCAATAAAAGATTCATTTGTCTTGTCTATAGGTGACCCAGTTCTGGCAAGGTCTAAACTCCATTGAAGTTCAGCATAATTTGATTGCTCCAAGTGTGCTTGAATTACTGCACCAAGGAATTGGTTTAAACACTATTCAACCCCCTTCAAGGTCTTCATCATCATCTCCTATAAATTCAACTGAGAAGACAATTTTTGAGTGGGCTGTTAAGCAGTTAGGGATGGATGTGGAAAGTCTGAAGAAAAGCTGCACTATTCTTGAAACCAAACCATTCAATTCGGAGAATAGGCAAAGCGGGGTTTTCATCAGTAAAAATGGCGACAATACGACTCATGTACATACAAAGTGTGAGAAGAAGAGAAGCAAGAAGAGAAGCTGGGAAGAAAGGGAAGAGAAGGGGAGAAAGTGAATGGGCACCTAGGTGCCATCTATAGGCGCCTAGGCGCCCCGAAGGATGTTTCCAAACAGAAACATGGCACCTAGGCGCCACTCTTGGGCGCCTAGGCGCCCCGGTACACTACATATATCCGATTTTTCACCCTTTCAACATAATACAAGACCTAGGCTCGAAAATTAGAGAGAAAGAAGAGAGAAAACTTGGTGAGAATTTTACAAGTTGAAGGTTGTTCATCTTGGGTATAAATTCAAAGTTATTTTCTTTCTTGGGGATTAACTTGAGGCTTGTTCAAGTAATCCAAACACATTGATCTTCATATATTCCATTGAAATCATTTCTTCCTCATTTTCTTGTTCTTCAAGTGTTTTGGAAATTTTCACTTTGTCAACTTGTTTGATCTTTTGGGCTATCTTTGGGAGGTGTTTTCCCAACAATTTGGTATCAGAGCTACATCCTAAATCAAGGTGGTTAAGCTTCGATTTTGTGGTGAGTTGCTTGAACTTTGTTGTGCACAAGGTGTTTGTGAAAATTCCCAAGTGAACTTTTGTGGTTTATTTTCGGTAAACAAGTGAGTAAATCATGTCTACTAGAGGAATGGTGAAGATTGGGAAGTATGAGATAGAAAAATTCAATGGGAAGAATGATTTTTCATATTGGAGAATGCAAATGAAAAATTTGTTGATTTCTCAAAAGTTGCACAAGGCATTGGCGGGAAAGGAGAAGAAACACGTTGATATGTCAGACGAGGATTGGGAAGAGCTAGATCTTGAGGCACGAGCGTCTCTCATTCTTTGCCTTGAAAGAGATGTTGCTTTCTTGGTTGATAGTGAGGTAACGGCGGCGGAGGTGTGGACAAAGTTAGAGACGAACTTCATGACGAAGACTCTAACAAATCGGATCTACTTGAAGTCCAAATTGTATACTTGCAAGATGGATGAAGGTACACCAATCCGGGAGTACGTCAACAAGTTTGATAGGATCATATCGGACTTGAAGGACATTGATGTGGATGTAGATGATGAGGATCAAGCACTTCTACTACTTCTTTCATTGCCAAAGTCTTACGAGAACCTAGTACAAACATTGATGCTTGTGGGTGATAAACTTGTGATGGAGGACACTAGAACGTCACTTCTAGCGGATGATCTTCGAAAGATTGCAACTAGTGGCATGTCTACCAGTGGTAACAAGGAGCAAGCTCAAGGATTGTTTGTAAGGGGTAGAAGCAATGTGCGACCAAAGGGCAAGGGAGAAAAATCTAGATCGAGTTCTAGACCTCTTGCGGAAAGGTCTTGTTTCAAATGTGGCGAGCTTGGGCATTTAAAGGCAAATTGTCCAAACAAAAAAGGTTGGAAGAAGAACAATAAGAACAACAACAGTGGGAAGGTGCAAGTCAAGCAAGAGGTAAGCTATGCCTCGGAAGGAGGGGAAAGCGATGAGTGCTACACCATCTCTTGTGATAAAGAGACCTCCGGTAAGTGGATTCTTGACTCCGGATACTCTTACCATATGTGTCCAAATAGGAAGTGGTTTACTAGCTATAGAAGCACTGAGGGTGGAACCGTGTTGATGGGTAATAACCATTCATGTAAAACGGTGGGGCTTGGTTCAATTAGAATCAAAATGCATGATGGAGTGGTTAGAACATTGATGGATGTTAGACATGTTCCTGATTTGCGAAAGAACCTTATCTCTGTTGGTGCCTTAGACTCCGATGGTTGCAAGATTGTAACATGGAATGGAGTAAAGAACGTTGTTCGTGGTTCCTTGATTGTGATGAAGGGTATTCGTGAAGGCAATCTCTATGCACTTCAGGGTACTACAGTTACTGAAGATGTAGTAGTTGGAATAAGTGGAAGTGGTGGAGACCCATGTGAGTGCACTCGGCTATAGCATAGGAGACTTGGGCATATGTCTGAAAAGGGATTAGATTTGCTAGTCAAGAAAGGCTTGCTAAAGAACTTGAAGAAGCCTTGCATGGGCTTTTGCGAGCATTGCGTGTACGGTAAAGCACACCGAGTTCAGTTCCAGCAAAGCAAACATAGAAGCAGAGGCATTCTTGACTATGTGCACACAGATGTATGGGGCCCGGCTTCTGTCACTTCCAAAGGCGGTTCCAGGTATTTTGTTACATTTGTTGATGATTATTCTAGATATGCTTGGATTTATTTTTTGAAGCAAAAGAATGAGGTATTCGACACCTTCAAGAAGTGGAAAGTAATGGTTGAAAACAGAACAGGAAAGAAATTGAAGACACTGAGATCTGATAACGGTACTGAGTATACAGATGGTGCTTTCAAGAAGTTCTGTGGTAAGGAAGGCATTGTGAGACACTGGACGGTAAGAAATACACTGCAACAAAATGGGGTCGCGGAAAGACTGAATCGCACATTTCGAGAGAAATCGATGTGTATGTGATCCTATGCTGGTTTGGGCAGAGTCGGTTGCAAATGCTTGCTATATTGTGAACCAGTCTCCACATTCAAGGTTAGATGGAGATGTACCTTATAGGGTATTGACAGGAGAACATGCAGATTATGAGAAACTCAGAACATTCGGATGCACAGCCTACTATCATGTCAACGAGGGAAAGCTTGATGCGAGGGCCAAGAAGGCTATATTCTTGGGGTATGCGGCAGGTGTTAAAGGCTATCGCCTTTGGTGTTTAGAGGATTCTAAGTTCATAATCAGCAGAGATGTTACTTTTGATGAGAACTCCATGGTAGCTTCGTTGAAAGCTACAGTGCCCGGTGGTGATGATGTTGAGACTACAATGTCTCAGGTTGTTGACATAGAACCTAGAGATCAACCTGATTTTAGGCATGTTCAAGAGGAGCATCATACAGACACTCAAGATGAGAGTGATGATGCACTTGAACAAGAGGCGGTTCAGCAAGAGAATGTACAAGCACAGCAACAACAGCAGCTTGCAGATAACTTGGCTTCCTCTAGGCCACGCCGTACTTACAAGCAAGTTCTAAAGTTGGGGTCAGATGAGCCTTTGAGGCACTATGGGCAGACAAATTTGGTTGAGTATGCACTCTCGGTGGAGGATGATGAGCCTACCACTTTCAAGGAAGTTATTTTAAACAACAATAGTGAGAGTTGGTTGGCGGCAATGGAAGAAGAGATGGAATCACTTCACAAGAACCAAACATGGGAGGTTGTCTCATTGCCCATAGGTAAGAAAGTTATTGGTTGCAAGTGGTTGTATAAAAAGAAGGAGGATCCTACCAAGCTCGGTGGTACAAGATTCAAAGCGAGGTTAGTGGCTAAGGGGTTTGCACAAAGAGAGGGAATTGACTACAATGAGATCTTTTCTCCTGTGGTCAAGCACACTTCCATTCGGGTGCTATTGAGTATTGTTGCTCATCATGACCTTGAGCTGGAACAACTCGATGTCAAAACCGCCTTCTTGCATGGGGACTTGGATGAGGAGATCTATATGCATCAACCTGATGGCTACAAGGTTGAGGATAAGGAACGTCAGGTATGTCGCTTGAGAAAATCACTATATGGATTGAAGCAATCTCCTCGGCAGTGGTACAAGCGATTTGACTCCTTCATGCTAAAGCATGGTTTCTCCAGAAGTGAGTATGACTGCTGTGTTTATATTCGAAAACTTCGGGGAGGTAACTATATCTATCTTCTTCTATATGTGGATGACATGCTTATCGCTTCGAAAAGCAAGGTGGAGATAGATAAGTTGAAAACTCAACTTGGTAAAGAGTTTGAGATGAAGGATATGGAGGTTGCTAGGAAAATACTAGGTTTGGAGATCAGAAGAGAGAGGACGAACCGGTGAATGTTCTTGAGTCAGAAAGGCTACATTGAGCGGGTTATTGCTAGGTTCGGGTTGCAAGGTGCAAAGTCGGTGGTGACTCCATTGGCTCCACATTTTAGGCTCTCTGGTAAACAGTCTCCTACTGCAGCAGAAGAAAAGGTACGCATGGATCGTGTGCCTTATGCTAGTGCAGTTGGCAGTTTGATGTATGCCATGGTGTGTACACGCCCAGATATTTCACAGGCGGTTAGTGTGGTCAGTAGATTCATGGCGAATCCGGGAAAGGCACATTGGAAAGCTGTGAAATGGATCCTGAGGTACTTAAAAGGTACCGCGGATAGGGGTTTATGTTTTGGTGGAGATGCATGTCATATAAGTGGGTTTGTGGACTCGGATTATGCAGGTGATCTAGATAGACGATGATCTACTACTGGATATGTGTTTTGCATACATGGTGCCCCAGTTAGTTGGCGATCGATGTTACAGGCTACAGTTGCTCTTTCTACCATAGAGGCCGAGTATATGGCCATGGCAGAGGGAGTGAAGGAAGCATTGTGGTTATGGGGTCTTCTAGATGATTTGGGGATTGAGCAGGATTGTGTGGATTTGTGGTGTGATAGCCAGAGTGCGATTCACTTAGCTAAGAATCAGGTTCATCATGCTCGAACCAAGCATATTGACGTCGGGTATCATTTTGTGCGTGATGTTATAGAGGAAGGTGATATTTCACTCTCGAAGGTACACACAAATGAGAACCCAGCTAACATGTTAACCAAAGTGGTGACAGGTAGCAAGTTTCAACATTGCTTGGACTTGCTTCACATTAGTCCGTGTTGATATGCCCGAGAGGGCATGGCCCTTCGGGGCGAGGTTGAAATGAGGTGGAGAGTATATGAAGGTGGAGGTAAACTACGGAGGCTTGATCCTGAGTTATGGGTATGTAGGCAATCATGGTTTGAATGATGCAGCCGAGTTGGTACTTGCTACTTCTTCTTGTGTTCGTCCAAAATTTGAGGTCTATCAAATGATGTACGAGGTGGAGAATTGTGAGAAGAAGAGAAGCAAGAAGAGAAGCTGGGAAGAAAGGGAAGAGAAGGGGAGAAAGTGAACTAGGCGCCCCGGTACACTACATATATCTGATTTTTTACCCTTTCAACATAATACAAGACCTAGGCTCGAAAATTAGAGAGAAAGAAGAGAGAAAACTTGGTGAGAATTTTACAAGTTGAAGGTTGTTCATCTTGGGTATAAATTCAAAGTTATTTTCTTTCTTGGGGATTAACTTGAGGCTTGTTCAAGTAATCCAAACACATTGATCTTCATTTATTCCATTGAAATCATTTCTTCCTCATTTTCTTGTTCTTCAAGTGTTTTGGAAATTTTCACTTTGTCAACTTGTTTGATCTTTTGGGCTATCTTTGGGAGGTGTTTTCCCAACACAAAGGGAGCTCCAGAAGTGATAATTCCAATGTGTTCTCATTATTATGAGAGTACTGGAAATGTAAAACTGATGAACGAAGATTCCAAAGCTTTATTTGAGCAAATTCTTTCAGGCATGGCAGAAAATGGCCTCAGATGTATAGCTTTCGCACACAGGAATATGTTAATAAGAGATTTCACCATCTTTCAAGAGCAGCTGATTCTATTAGGCCTTGTCGGATTGACACATTCGTGTCGAAGTGGAACAAGGGAAACAGTGGAAGATTGCCGTAGAGCTGGAATCAACGTCAAATTGATCACCGGAGATAACAAAGTAACTGCCACAATCATGGCCACTAAGTGTGGAATAATTGAGCCTGATTACCAGCCTGGTGAAGTGATAGATGGTGAGGAATTCCGGAAGTTTAGCTCAGAAGAGCGAATGGCAAAAATTGAAAATATCTGCGTGCTGGCAAGAGCCACTCCTGATGACAAGTTACTTATGGTCCAATCTTTGAAGCAGAAAGGCCATGTGGTTGCATTCATTGGATGAGGCATTGGAGATGCACAAGCCCTTAGAGAAGCAAATGTAGGACTTTGTTTTGGAACCCAAGGAGCAGAAATTGTCAAAGCATGTTCAGCCACTGTCATGTCATGCAAAGATTTTCCTTTCATCATTGATATTTTGACATGGGGTAGGGGAATATACGACAGTGTCCAGATTTATACTCAGTTTTTGCTCATTGCAAGTTGTGTTGCTCTGGTAATTGACTTTGTGATGGCTGTTTCATCGAGCGAACCCCCTAGTTTGAGTGAGGTAGCTATTTCAACAGGAAAAATTCCATTTTCGGTGTTTCAACTTTTGTGGATGAAACTGATTGCAGGTACTTTAGCAGTTCTTGCCCTCAATATAGAGAAGCCGTCTCAAGATGTTATGAGGAGGCCACCAAGAAACTTGAAAGAGCCACTAATCACAGCCCAAATGCGTAAAAATATTGGGGCTCAAGTTTTATATCAGATAGCCATCTTTTTGGTTATACATTTCAAAGGCAAATCATTATTTAATGTGAATGCTAAGGAAAAGGATTCTTTGGTCCTTAGTACATACATTCTCTGTCAAGCCTTCAACATGTTCAATCACAGGCTTCCGGAGAACATTGTTGAGGAGATGCAAAAGAAAAAACTTTTCTTGAGCATCATCGGACTAATGATTTCCATTCAGTTTATAATGGTGGAACTTTTGAACGGGTTTTCAGGGACAGACAGGCTAGGACTTGGCCAGTGGGGCTTGTGTATAGCCTTTTCTGCTGCACCTTGTATGGTCACTTGGTTTGTCAGGTGCATGCCTTCTCTCGAAAACTTCAAGTTGCCAGTGTTGAAGCCTAAAATCGATTAGTCAAATGCTCTTTCATTATTCTCTGGTCAGAATACAGAATCTGTAGATTGCGTCAAAATCTGTTTGTTGTTTTCGGTTTTTCACATTTTGCTCTATCGAACTTTATGTGGTCAATGTTGAAGTGTAATACCGAGTAGTTAAATTTCACTATATTTTATTCTCTAGTCTTAGCTTTGTCGACCAGTGCAAACGTAAATTGTTAAATGTGAAATCAATAGAAAAACGAGAAGAACAACAAGATATGTTCGCCCCAATTAACTAGTGCCTCGAGTTCAACAATTTCTTGGTTACATTTCCGGTGGAGGTCCACTCAGAGCCGGTCTTGTGTTTGATGGGCCCTGGGGCGAATGATGAAAAATAGGCCCCCCAAGGACAAAATTCAAAGGTGTATTATGCGAGTCATTACTAACTTAAAAAACTAACATTAAAACAATAACGAAATATATCATAGAAACGATTTATATTATAAACCATCAAACCAAAAATTTCCAACTATAGGCAATGTCTCAAGTGGATGACAATGCTCAACTGTCTAACCATTGGTCATGAACAGCAATAGAAACCATTACCAACTATCCTAGTTTCTGGTAACCAACCTTCTGCTCTCATGACTTATCATCGATCAAGTCTTTGACACTTTTGACCAGTTAAGCCTAAACTCAACAAACTTTAACTTTGATATTGCAGCAATATTTTCCCCAACGGATGCTGCCTTCACCTCTTATATTGAATCTAGATATGCTATTTATATTGAAGCTGTATTTAATTTCTACTAAGACTAAGATTTTTAGCAAACTCATACCCCTATCAGATCAATCTTTAAAAGCTGTTCTTGAATTGAGGAAGAGGGAAGGGTAAAAGAACTAGAAATTAACAGAAGGATTTTCAAATTTCTAGTCGAAGTTGAACTTAAAACCTTATAATAGAGAATGATCTATATTGATGCAGCTCATGGAAAGAAGTGATTAATGATGAGTATGAGTAAAATTATACAAAAATAAGTGCTATTTAAGTGAGTTAGAAGTATACCAATACATTAATGCCAGAAGGTGTTTAACAACAAGCTAGAGCATAAGAAAATTACACAGCTACTATTTAGATTATCTTTCAACAAATGAAATGTTCAATAATCTTTTCACTTGTTGATTGGGATATAAAAAATAAAAAAATAAAAAATAAAATATATATATATATATATGGAACAACAAAGAGATTTCAAGGCAAATGGAATTTATTTGAAAAAATATACCTATAATCGCCATTTTATACCTAAATAAACAGTTGGGTCCTAGTAAATAGAACATATTCATACAAATTATAAAAGAACAATAGGAAGCTAACAAAATCAGAGGACCCTAAACTCTCAACGTCACTTTCCCAAGGAAGCAAAACCCCACCACTTCATTTTTACTTTTTTTTCAAGATAAAAACTTCTTCATTTTAATATACCCTTTAGAAACCAGCAAACCACAAGGGGCTTCTTACATATACCCATTTTAGTATACCCTTAGTGCGGTAGATTCTTACACAGTTACACTCAATAATCAATTCATGTAAGATTTTCGAGAAGGGTATTGTTTGATTTAAGTAGAGACCATACCCGCATGGGCCGCATTAGTTAACTAAAGGCAGTGCTGTAGTAGCTGAGTAGCACCAAAGGTTCGGAGCTCGTCGACGTTGAGCGGTCGAGATGCGAGAAGAACAGCAGCAGCCCTAGCCCCTAAATCGTATTATTCATTTTTCAAATTTTGGGAATTTAGGAATTTGGGTAAATGGATTGGGTTGTGATATTGGATTTGGATATATGAGTTGGGTTGGAATTTTAGGGTAAATGAATTGTGGGTTGGTGGATAATTAGTTTTGGGCTACTCATATTGTTTATTAAAAAAAATTTTAAAAAAATTTGGGCTAAAAATAGGCCCCTTAATGGTCTTGGGCCTGAGGCGCGGGCCTCACTGGCCTCGCCCCAGAACCGGGCCTGGGTCCACTCAGAGTGCATGACTCCGATGCACTATATAACCCATGACTGACTCCAAATTGTAATAAATAAAGCATTAAAGAGAGTATTGTTCACGAAATATTTTCTTTTGATTTAAATTGAGTTCGAATATTACCAAAAGTGTACGGTTCGTTAACAAGTAATAAAGTGAGATCAATTAAATTCGAATATCGTCCCATGGAGATTGATTAGTTTAATCTTATCTATCGTAGCTTTAACTAAAACTAAATTACCCAAAGTGAAATTTTTACCTAAATGAAACCCTAATTTGGAAAGAAAATCCTAAATATGTAAAATTGATGATTTGAATGAACTCAATATGCAAAACAATGTTTTAACGAATTAAAATGCAAATCAATTGTTCAAAATGCAAATTGGTTGTATTCAATTAAAATTAAACGTACTAGGATCATAAATCCCATGCAATGATCACCCTGAACCCTAATTTCATAAAATGACAACGGGATTGAACTGTTGACGAATCAATGCTCCTAAATCTATCCAACACTCTCTCTTGAGATATATTGAACCTATTCTTCTAGACTACTAGCTGTATCTCTATGACAAATGCATATATAAGAATGCATGTGATTTTATGAATATGTAACGATCCACGCAAAGTATAGGAGTATATCTCTATTCTTTATCGGACCCTACGATAATTTATACCTTATCAAATTTATTTCTCTTCTCTCAAACAAATGAAATAAACCACCAAACATCACATAATTTTTGCACTTAATTATGGAAGAAGATTAATGTATATAAATCATTCAAACATTCAAATACGTATTTAATGTCAAATTGCAAACTAGAAATTTAAAAATCACATCACATTGTACATCGATTTCCTAGTACATGAAAATCTAGCTAAACATGATAGGAAAAGAAAAACAACAAAAAAAATAAGGAAAAAACATCACCAGATCGCCCTTTGATTTGAAATCTTGAATCTTGGAATGAATCCTCTCGTTCATGCCTTTTCTTTTCCTCCTCAAATCCTTCCAAAATAATGTATAATGCATGTGTCTTGTTTTTGGACTTCTCTAGGACTCTAAAAGACTTCCCAAGATTTGTTTCCATAAGAATTTCAATCAGAAAAGTAAACTAGATTTTTCTCGCCGCAATTGACCTGGGCTGTCGCCTAGGCATGGAATTTTGCCTCGGTAGTTGAATTTTCAATGTAGGCGATCGCCCGGTATTTATAATTGGGCAATCATCCAGTTATAATTTCTTCCATATGTTACATTTTAGCCCTTGAAATCGATTCTTGATTCTTTTAAGTCCTTTCTCTTGCGTTTTCAACCATCTGACTTTTAATTGCATCCAATTGAACCGGCAATATCTTTAATTTCATTTTATTCGAATCAACTATTCAAATGTTGCAATTTAGTCCTCATACTATGGATTTTTCCCTTTTTTTTATTTTCCAATTGCTTAGGAACCAGTCTATCACTGAATTAAATGAAAAATTACCCAAGTTAATTAACAATCAACACTTTCATGAAATAAAAAACTTAGTAATGCAGTCTAAATAAGTGCACAAAATGCACTTATCAAGTCCTTTGTATAGGTCAGCAAAAGGAGGGGCTTTTAGTTTCTTAGCCAATTTGGGATTCTAAACAATCCCTTTACAACTGGAAAATTTATATCATATATATTCTAATACACAAATACAATCACACTCTAGTTAAACAGTATCAAGTCAAAACCCTTAACAATCCCCATCTTGACTTTGAAGTTTTTGAGGTCTCCATATAGAGTTTCTTCCATATCTCTTCCATATCGAATGATGTACTATGCTACAGTCATTCCTCCTCAACCCTCTTGATCACACCACTTGAGAAAACTTTCGGTGAACTGAGATTTACCATACTGAACCATAAAAAATACAAGTACCACACAACGTAAACACATAGGACAAAGTAGATTTTCTTTTATCGTATCACCTGCACTATTACAATTTACGTACCCTTCTAACTTTATCCACTCATTACTTTGTTTAAAGATTAGCCCGAAGTTGAAGTTCCTTTAAGATATCTTAGGAACCACATAACTGCCGAATGTTAAAAGTCCCAGGGGTTTTCATATAAATACTATGTATATTGGTTTCCTTAAAGCCCTTGTACATATCATAGTGTATAGCACTGTACCTACATCATTAGAGTATGAGACCCTTTTCAAGTGGCTATTTCTTCTCAAGTTGAAGGACTTATTTACTAAGGTGAAATGACCTGCTAAAGGTATTGAAGTCACTTTAGTTTCAGTCATCTAATAGTTTGTTAACACACTTTTGTTATAAGAACATGGTTTCAATACAAAAATGGTATATTCCATTCCTCATTATATCAATACCAAGTATTTTTTTAGCATTAACTATGTCCTTTTTTCTCAATTTCATTTTTTGAATTATTCTTAATTTCATTTATTTCATGCATATTACGACTCATAAATAATGTATCGTCATCATATAGTAACAAGTATTAAAAAAATAAATACAAAAAACATGTTTTTTCTACTTGTTTTGAAATATAAACAACACCATAATTACTTCTTTTGAAGCCAATTAATTGAACAAATGAGCTAATAAACCTTTTATACCATTTTTCTGTAGATTTTTTAAAACCATATTGTTTTCTTTAGAAGACAAATAGAATCAGATTCACTTTTCTTCACAAAACTTTCAAGTTCACACAAATATATATAAATATATATATTCTTCAAGCTCACCATTTAAAATGGCAGTTTTTACATCTAATTGCTCAAGTTGTCGATCAAACTAAACCACAAGTGCAAGCATTATTCTATATATTATTATATTTAATTATTGCTAAGAAAATTCATTAAACCCCTTATTTTTATATGTAAAATGTACTTGCATGTTTATAACCGAATTCCAACAAGTGAAACTTACTTGAAATCACAAAAACGAGGTTAAGTAACTTACCTTGTTTTGCTTCCTTCCTATCCAACTTTGTACTCACATTCTGGTTAGAAATTC